TCAGTTGTTGACAAAAACTAAAGAAAACAGTTTTCATCATTTTCTATGTGATATACACTGTTCTTTGTGCTTTACTTACACTAACTCCTTTAATCCTTTCAGAAGTTTGATATTCTATGTATTTGTTAAATGAAGAAAATAGAGGTAATTTAAATCATCTGAGGTTACACAGCGTCTTAGTCACTTTTCTCATTGCTGAGCCAAATTTGCAACACCCAAAGGTCAAGGAGAAAAGGCTTATTTAGTTCACAGTTTGTAGAGGTTTCAGTCCATAATGGGCTGACTCTAAGCAGGATGGCACATGGCAGAGGGCAACAATTTATGGCATGGAAGACAGTGAAAGCAACAATACAGAGAGAGAGACAAATCTCTTTCTGTTCCTTATATTGTATGCAGCCCACCTGCCGTAGGGCGGGTGTAGCACTCACACCTTTAATCCTAGCATTGGACCATGAATCAATTACAAACTATGAATCCTCTGAAAAACCATCCCCTGTGACTACATGGGGTCTTGGGGAGGCATCTAGACACCAGCTGTAACACACAGTAAGCAGCAGAGTTAGGATTAAGTAACAAATCGATCCTGAGACCATGTACTGAAAGAAATAAAGAGGTATCCAGAGAAAAAGACACTGAGGATAACATACTAACTCAGAAATTAAGGATCTAAGGGGATTTTCCATGTCTCAGAGTGGTTAGTACCCAAGATACTTTTGCAACAAACTCTTGAATTCTCATGTTCTCTGATGATTCGTTTTATCCACATTGATATTTTTCTTTCTCCAAAAGCTTAGTATGGTTGCTTCTATTCATTCTCTATCAGATTATAGGCAGAGAAATGGAGAAAATCAGACACTCAAAATCTTGTATGCATTAATTATTTATATGAAAAAGGGAAAATTAAAGTAATTCATCTTTACATTTGTCATCTTTACTTTCACTGCCTTAAAATTCATGAGTAAAACTGTTTCTGAAATACCAACTCTTGAAATAGTGTAGGTTGAGTATTCCTTGTCAGAAGCATTCTGGACTTTTTTGGATTTTGGAATATTTGCATATATACAGCATGTACTTTGAGATTGGACTGTATCTTATACACATAGTTTACAAGTGTCATAAAATTGTGAAGACTAATTTTTGTGCATGAAACAAGGTTTGATGAATTAGAATTTTCTATCAGTGGCAGCATGGCAGTACTCAAAAAGTTTCAAGCTTTGGAGAACTTGTGAATTAAGATTTTCTGATAAGGAATGCTTAACCTATATTTATCTTTCTTTTTTCCCTTTGGATATCTATTTCAATTTTTAGAATGTTTCTTAGTATATGTTTGCTGTACATATTGATTACATTGATCATGGGGAATTATTACATGTATATAACTATTATTATTGTTTACTTCTCCTTTTTCTCTTCCCTCACTCTGTCTAGACTGGCTTTCCATTTGAAAAAGATTTATCTCCCAATTTCCTATTATCTATTTTTTATTGTGATCTAAATTATTTATACTTTGGGTTTCTATGGAAGAGACACCATGTAATATTTATGCTTGTGTATCTGATTTATTTCACTTAGCACTAAGGTGTCCTCTACAAATGACTCATTATATTTATCTTTTTTGATGTTTGAACTAAGAGTGTATAAGTCATGTCAGAGCCTTATAAAGGGTAATAAAAGTACAGTGAGCATTAACGATTTTAAAAATTATTATAGTAAAAGGTATATTGCTATCAATACTCCTCCAAATAATCCTCTTTGATGTGAAAACTGTTGTATGTTATCAGTTAGAGCCATAAGAAAGTACAGGAAGACTGGATTAATATAGTCTCGGAGGTCTCACTGAATTTATTCCCACTTAAAATGAGCCGAGAGCCACCGAAACTTCTCACATTTATTGAGGGCTATAAGCAGGCTAAGGAATATGCATAACTAATTTTGTGAATACAAACTACTATCTCTATTGTCTTTTTTTTTTTTTTTTGTATTTAGGACAGGGTGTACAGGGTCTCACTGCGTAGATCAGACTCACAATGATCCTTCTGTTTACAGCCTCCCAAGTGCTGGGATTAAGGAGCATGCCGCTACGCCCAGTCTCAATCTCCATCTCAGTGTGCCCCATGAGGGGGGCTGGCATGGCAGGCCAGGGATGGAACTCCCAGCCCTGGTGTCTAGCTAAGCAGGTGCTTTAATCCACTGAGCTATTTGGCCAGCCCTTTTCTATTGCCTTCACCAAACTCTAAGTTCACACAATGCTAGCTGGCAGCATCCCACGTGAAGTACCAAAGAACAGACAGGGCACCTGCCTCCAGGAAATGCTGTTATCTGTGGCCTTGTATTCTAGCTTGTTGGAATTTACCAAAGACAACAGGTCTCTTTGGGCTCTGTTAGCTGCTCTTTGGTACTTTGGACATCAGACTTCTGTCTCATGACACTACATACACTTAGCCCACCATCCTTGCCACTTCTTGAAGCAGTCCTGGAAATTGTCCTTCATGTCTTTAGTTGTGCTATCATGGCTGCCTTTATGTCCTGAATCAATTCAGAGTATTTACTTTCATGGTTATGTTGACTTGGGGAAGACCAGAAGTTGCACAGTATCAGATCTGGTGAATGGGTCAATACCATAATGTTTTAAAGAGCCTTCTTTTCCTTAATGGGATGTCACTCAATAGTGGCATTCATTATATTTTTTATAACATGTCCTAAAGACACTTACAAAAGAGGACTTATAAAAATGTTTCAGAAATTGTAGAACTGCAAGAAAATGACTCTAGACTTAGAAGCCACTATTGCCAAAGAATTTGTATTTAAATTCTCTTGGTTCCTGAAAGTTAATACAAAATCTGAAATGTCTTGATATTGGAAACTTTTATGAGCATCGGTGCTCATTTTGGATTTTGGTTTCTTTCATTTTGGGGATTTCCAGCCTATGACATCTATACAAACATTTCAAACAGTTCTGACACGTTTTAAGATCTGAAGTACTTCTAGTCCCAAGATTTTACTTATTTATTTATTTATTTATTTATTTATTTATGGTACCAGGGTTTGAATTGATGACCTTGCCCTAGCCAGACAGGCATTTATGCCTCTGAATTATCTTGCTGGCCCAAGTCCCAAGCATTTTAGATAAAGAAATTTCAATCTGTAGTAGCAATGAACAAAAAACAGGTACTTAAACCTTAAAATTTGTCTTGATTTGGTAGTAATACATGCTAGTGACAAATAATTATTGTCTGACATTTAGAGAAGTTAGCAAATATATGGTGGGAGATTTTACAAGATTGATTTGGAGAAAAATCATTTGGTGATTGAATATCCTGTTTTATATGTGGGACAGAAGAAATCTCAACTGATTGATTATATAAAAACTCAGCCTCAAAGATTTTATTGTTATACTGATGGAGGGTGAAGCAGTCATGGACCTCTCCTGTCTCTACATTCTTTATTGCTGTCTTATTCATAAATGTTGTTTTTCCCAGTGTTCTGTTCTTGGCCTGCCGTCTTGCTTACCTGCCATCCTGTCTTTATAGGTAAAGACTGATGGCTTTTTCTTCCTGAATTTAGCTATGGCCTAATAGCACAAGACCCTGGATATTTTTTCTTTCTTTTTTTAGATTTGAGGTCTTTCTAGAACTGGAGAATGACAGGTTCAATACTTATTGAACATTTTTAGTTGAATGTCACAGGCACTACAAAATTTTAAATGTGCCACCCTGTATTAATAATCTTCCTTCAATCATCTAGACCAGTTGTTTCTGCTGTCTTACTTACTACCATAACACCACCATTCTCCAAATGCTTAAGTGTGACATCCCAATCACTTGTCATTTTTACAGTTTGCTTTCTGTCCGATGCCAGTTCCTAAATTTTTTCCTCTGTAAGCCTTGTTTATTCCTTGTCTTATATTCTCATTTAGACCTCTTCTCCTTATCTAAGTGCAGTATCTCAAGTCCCTTTCCAATTAATCATATACATTACTGGCTGTGAAATCCTCCCAGACAGTGCTTTTAATTATATCAATTTTAGCTCTAAACTATTAGCTCTTGTTTGTCAATTTTTACTATACCTGCCTGGGCCACACTCTTTCCAACTACATGTCTGCCTCCATATAGCCATACAACATATCTTGGCTTCTAGTCAAATTGGTTGTTTACTTCTTCAAATGTACTAGACTTTGATCTATATTGCTCATATTGCCCAAAATCTTTTTCCTCCCCTTCCCTATACCTGTAAACAACTGAAGGTCATCTGAAGGAGACCTTCTTACATTGTGTCCTAAGATTTTACTACCACTCTAAGATCTAAAGTGCACCTCTCCATTGATCCAACACTCTTGATTCTGATCATTTATTCTATAAAATACTTACCATATGTATATAGGTATGTATTCAAGTATATTTGTAGTCATATATTGATGGGGAAATTTGGCTGCTGATTATAGGCTATAATTGAATTTTTTTTAAAAAAACTTAGCATATGTATTTTTGTTTGCTTGTGTCTTTGTATATCTATGAAAATGCATATATAGAAATTGGAAACACACATTCAAAAATATTGAACAGTGGTTTTGTGCATTATTTGTAGGGTGGGGATTAAAGTTATGAAGGACTTTGTAATTAGTGCAAAAATGTTAACATTTGCTAATGTTGGGTGATACTTTCTGGTGTTTATTATGCTAATTTTTATGTCTCATAATGTTTAATGAAAACAAAAACTGGAGAAGTGCAGCACTAGATTTTAAATATGCACTGAAGTTCAAGTGTGCATTTATATGTATTTATAAGTGAAGTTTTAATGCTTATTTGCATAGAATTTAGTCTATGTGCAGTTTCACAGAACAGCAAGATAATATTTGGATAGATGGTACTTACACAGAATTAAAATTCAGTCAATTTCACTTATTTTTATGTAAATGGTTAAATGAGTTTGACTCATTTCTACATGCTTATTTTTAATGGAGACAAAGAAGACATGAATGGTATATGTTTTTGGTGTTGTAGGTGGAAACCAAAGCTTCAATCTGGAGGACGACATGACCATGTAATTAGACATTTTCTTACATTTATTTTATTAACCTTTCCTTTATCACTTCTGTTATAGAAATGCTTAGAGTTTTGCATTATCCTAATGAGAAATTGAAATTTTAAGGAGAACAATACTATTGTTAGGTTTCAAGGAGATTATATTGTAGAATTTTTTAAAACAAAAGTATTTGTTGAAGAAGATATAACAAGGTAATATTAAGCCTTAATAGTTAGATGTGCATTTCAAAATAGAGAACACAATACATACGGAAGTCATGAGAATCTAAAGTAGATTTTTAAAATGGTTGAATTAGGGATCATTATTTTTAATGACTTTGTGTCATTAGTTTTCCTTTTGGATATGTTTTGTCATAAGCAAAGAGGAATTTTAACAATTCAGCCTGTAATTGTCAACAAGGAAATAAAAAATCAGAAGGGATATAGTCATTCTGACCTCAGGAAAATTTTAATAATGACATAAATTTTGAAGTTTACGCCCCCAAATGGTTTATAACTGATTTCTAAAGATATACAGTTATATCTCAGTTCATGAACTTGATTCTTTCCACAATTCTGGTTGCAAACAGAATTGGATAAGACCTGAATTCATTGGTTAGGTTCAATTTTGACCTTACAAGGATAATTTGTAGAATCATGGAGAGAATTGGGTTTGTGATCTGAGGTATCACCTCTATTAATGAATCAGAAGATAGTGATTCCACATTATAGTATAATAATATAAAAATTTTGAAGAAAATAGAGATAGCTTATATTTTGGGAGTTGAAAAGCAAATGTCTTCAGATGTGACTATGGAATAGCATGCTTTTTTAAATTGGAAAACCAGAATGCATGTATGGTTTAACATGATTTATATTAAAACACATTACTAGCCAGGCATGGTGCCGCATGCCTATAATCCCAGCACTCAAGAAAGTGACACAGGAGGATTACTGAGAGTTCAAGTTCAGCCTGGGCAACATAATGAATTCAAGGCCAGCCTGAACGACAGAGTGAAACCCTGTCTCAAAAACAAATAGAAAATTCTTACACACTCCTATTACTGTTGTTAAAGCCCAAGTTCTTGTAAAATTGATTTCTTTGTATCTCTTGCTATATTATTAACACCTGGGTAATAATTATCGAGTTATCTAGTAACTAAAATTCAGTGTCTCACTTATATCTTACCTGAGAAACATATTACAAAGTGCAACTTTGAGGAAAGATTGTTTCATATTAAATCTGGTTATTTAAGCACAGAATTTTGCATAGCACCACCAGAGAATATGTGTTTATCACACACTCACTTCTAGTCTGTGCAGGCTGCACACATTTTTATTGCATTTCAGCAATTAGAGATCTTCTAAAAATGGAAACACTGGTATTTTGTATTTCATTTTAGAATGTGTGCCTTTAATCTAAAAATTCAGGCCTACTGAAGTCTAATTATTTGTTTTTGTAAAAATGAACATTAAGTCCAGGGATATGGCTCAGTGGCACAGTGTGTGAGGTTGTGAATTGCATTTGTGGTATGTAAGTAAAAAGAACAAAGAAACATTAATCAAATATTTCTTAATATTAAAGTCTACTTTTAGAAGACACAGTTTTCACTGTTAGAGTTTAACAGTGAAAGGAAAACTGGAAATGACTCATTGAACATTTTAGGACAGGTGTCATGACTGATGACAGCTCATGATGGTGACCGGTTGGGCAGGTAGTATAAAGGTACATTTTATTTTCACTTCTCTTAACATTTGACTTCTAGACTAATAGCCTAAAAGGCCAGAGGAACTTTTTCATCTCTTTGTTCCATTTTCTGATGAGTTCTGGCACTTCTTTCCAACCCTCAATCTGCAGATACCACACAGAAGAGCTCAACAGTTGATGCTGATATAGTAAAAATAGATAGGATTACAGTGACCTGTCTTACCTGATGCTCCAACACCCCACACGGTCATTTACAGTGCTCATTTTCTGAGATTTACCGGGTGCCAGGCACTGGCCCAAGGGTACTTCACACACAACTGCCTTACCATTCTTATCAACATTGTAGCAATTTAAAGACCGAGCCTTGGGAAATTTCAACTGCTTGCTCCAGACTAGACAGCAGTTAAACCAAGAACTAGGATGGAGGCGAAGTATAAACCATTCTTAACTGTTCCTATACAGTATGTCGTGACAGATGTAGTTGTATACTAATCATTGTTTCTGCTTATTGTGACCCCTTTTTAGTTGTTAAGAGGTGTGATGAAGAGGTGTGACGCATAACTAAAAACTATGGAGGAATGGTCTGAGTGGGTAAAATGCATTAATTAGAAAACATAGAGTGTGATAGTATTCTTGTTTTTCAGATATGCCTATTATTATACTGGAATCGGTGCTGGTGTGCTTATTGCTGCTTACATTCAGGTTTCATTTTGGTGCCTGGCAGCTGGAAGACAGATACAAAAAATTAGAAAACAATTTTTCCATGCTATCATGAAGCAGGAGATAGGCTGGTTTGATGTGCATGATGTTGGGGAGCTGAATACCCGTCTCACAGAGTAAGTACCTAGTTTTATGTGTAACTCAGATGTGATTCTTACTGTAAATGAAATGAGATGGATGTCATTAGGTCTCTTAGAGTAGCAGCTATGTCTTATGTACCTGGCCTAGAGTTACAGGAGTGAACAGTAACATTCTTGGCTGGCAGCGAATGGGGGAGTGGACCTAAATCAAGGAGTACTTGGAGAGTGTGCAGTAAAGCAATATGCAGTAAAGCAATAATATACTTATTATATTTCTTTTTTCTTACTTTAAATCAGCTTTATTTCATTTTTTGACAGTTTCAAAACAGATTAATAGGACAGTTTCAATAATTAATACATTGTACATTGTTATCTTCTTAGTGGTTATCCATAGTACAAGATGCAGACAGGATATCCTGTCCAAACACTATTAGTACAAATCTTTCTTCTCATTGAATTAAGCAAAAGTAGCTGTATATATCTATCCTAACTATTCTGTGTATACAGATACAAAATGGCCCTTCCTTAGTATTCCCTTTTTTTGTTTAGTCCTATCAGAGATGGGTATTTTATTGGCATCTAAATACTATAGGTGCTTGACTTCAGCAAAACAATCCAACACAGTCCAGCAGTCCACAATAGTAGTGGATTATCAGCAGAAGTTGTTGACATGAGCCTTTCACAGCTCAGCATATTAATATGGCTTTACTTTATGTACCTCGTTTTTATACTTTTCTGCTGGATGGTTAAGACCAAGACCAAGCAAAGCAGTTTGAAATTTTTGCGTTGCATACTTTTTGAGTAACCACGTTCATTTCCTGGGCCATGTGGACTATGGCTTTCTGTTGTCAGTGATCAGTATTCTACTATGAACTAACACCCTGCTAAAAGAAACAAGCATACATAGAAAGACTCTAGATATGAACTGAGTTTTTCTGTACTACAAAAAATGAAAATGAGTTTAGGGAAAGAATTCTGTGTTTGTACTTCTGACACTGTCTAACACTATCTGTTCTTTAGTGATGTCTCCAAAATTAATGAAGGAATTGGTGACAAAATTGGAATGTTCTTTCAATCAGTAGCAACATTTTTGGCTGGATTCATAATAGGATTTACACGTGGTTGGAAGCTCACTCTTGTGATTTTGGCTGTCAGCCCTGTTCTTGGACTATCCGCTGCAATCTGGGCAAAGGTAGGTGAAGCATCCAGGTCTTAACCCTTCCCTATTCCTCAGGAAGGGACTTGAACCATGATAACCTACTGTTTTTCATACTTTTTATCTTTTCTGTTCAAAACCAGTAGAATAAGCTGATTCAGTCTCACTATGTGCTGCCCCTGCCAGGGCTTTGGGGTGTCTATAGACATGTGGTTATTTGTGGAAGTGGTAAGAAGAAGGAAATATCTCTCTTATCTCATTCTCTGCCTATATAAAATATATATGCTGAACTCTAGAGTCTATGATAGGATTATGGTTAGGACATACATTCATATTTTTATTTTATGTAAAAATAAAATTTCACAGCAAAATAATAAGAGCACAACAATAATTAATATACTGTGTATCATTATTGAAAATAGCTACTCATATACATTCTAGAAATTTATTGTAAAAACACAAGCCATAGACTATCTAAAGCAATCTTGACAAAAAGAGTAGACTTAGGAGTAGTAGTTTATCTGATATTAAGGTATGTAGTAGTCGAGACCATATGGTATTATTGGAAGAATAAACACAAAGATCAATGAGGTAGATTAGAGCCCCAGAAATAGACCTGTGTGAATATGCTTAACTGATTTATGAGAAATATGCAAAAGCAATTGAGTAAAGCAATTGAAAGTTTTTTTAAAAATAGTCCTGAGCCATTCACAATAGCTAAATTATGAAAGCAACTTATATGTCCATAAATAAATACTATACATGGATAAAGAAAAATATGGTGTATATATACACAATGGTGTACTACTCAGCAATAAATAATAAATTGGAGTCTTTTGTAAGAAAATGGATAGATCTTGAGTCAAATAAAATAGACAAAAAGCTTAATATAGTGTATCATTTTTCTTATATGAAAGACTCATAAATAATTTAGAATGTAAAATAAAAGAGTGGTAGGAATATGGAGATGGGGAAGGGACATATGGAGAAGGGAGAAGGGGAGGACTCAGTCCCAAGAGAGATTTAAAATGATTTGGATGTGATATTTATATGGATCAATTCCCTAAGGTAAAGGTAATTATTGTATATCACAAGCATATGCAAAAAACAGAAAACCAAAACCAAAAATAGTGCTAGAGTAACTGGACAACCATGGACCGAAAAACAAAACAAAGCACCAAAAACCTCAACCTAAACTTTACATATTACATAATAATAATAATATTATTTATAATAATATCATATTTATTATATTAAAATAATAATAATGATATATTATTTATATTTTATTTATAAATATTTATATTTTAAAGAAGGGTCTACAGGGTGTTTGGGGTCTCACTACTAGATTGGACTCATAATGATCTGTCTTTTTACAGACTCCCAAGAGCTGGGATTACATGCATAGGCCACCATGCCCAGTCTCGATTGCCATCTCAGGGACCCCCAGGGGCAGTGCCAGCATGGCAGGCCTGGGGATTGAACCCCCGTCTCCTGTGCCTATTTGCAGGCACTTTAATCTGCTGAGCTATTTGGTTGGTCCAAAAATTAATTTATAAAGTGAATCAGAGTTCAATATAAAACTTAAAGTACAAAACTTTGAGAAATAAGGAGAAAATTGTTTGAAATCTAGACCTTGCCCAAGTTGTTATATTTGTAACCAAAAGCATGATCTTTATTAGGAAAAAAATAAGACATTATACTTTAGCAAGCTGAAGTTTGTACTTTGTGAAAATCCATGTGAAGAGAATGAAAGAACAAGTTACATACAAGGAATGAGGCATCTGGAAACTACACATCTGGCCAAGAGGTCCTAGATTCCATAACAAATTCTCAAGAATCAATAGTGGAAAAACCAGGCAATCCATTTGCAGGAAGGGCAGAAGACACGAACACATGTCTCAGAAGAGAGCATATGTGGATGGCAAATACACACCCAGAAAATATTATTATTTTTAATATTTATATTTTAGGGAAAGGTCTACAGGGTGTTTGGGGTCTCACTACTAGATTGGACTCATAATGATCTGCCTGTTTACAGCCTCCCAAGAGCTGGGATTACATGCATAGGCCACCATGCCCAGTTTCAATTGCCATCTCAGTGCCCCCCAGGGGCAAGGCCGGCACAGCATTAAGCATTATCAGCCATCCATAAAATGCAAATTAAACCAGAGTGAGATATCACTACACAATTATCAGGGTGGCTAAAAATGGAATACTACTCAACTATAAGGACAAATTGGAGGCATTTCTAGATAAATGGATTCACCTTGAAATTATAATATTAGGTGAAATAAATCAGATGCACAAACTTAAATACTAATAGTTGCCTTCTTAAGAAACTCAAAGTACAAATAAAGAGCAAAATAAAAAAATTGATAAAAGGAAACAGATCTTTTCTATACAGGATGGGGATCATAAGACTGAGGGGAGCAGGACAGGGCAGAAAGGAGACATAAACATATTGAAGATGTGTTTCATATATGTACCAGTTATCCACAATGAATATAATTATTGCATGTTTCAAATATGAGCTAAAAAATAGTACATGTACCTACCCCTGAAGATGAATGTAGATATCAGGTACTACCCACATGTACTACAAGAAGAAAAAATAGGAATTAATGAATTAGATTTCGGTATTGTCTTCTTCAATAATTTGTTGTATGGCTCACGACAAATTCTTTTAACATTTGACTCTGATTTTTGTGAAACCAAATTAGAATCAAGTTCCCTCTTCTTTAATGAAATTCCCTAAAAGAAGTTTTATAAGAAATTAATGAAAAATTATTCAGTTCTGAAAGCACTTTGTGCTATTCCCCAAAATCTCTTAGTCTGTGAAGATAGAAAATTTACAGATTAATAAACAAAACAAAAAATTAGGAGTAGTGAAACACAAATGCTACAAAGAATACAGTGGAACTGGGCTAGGGAGATAGCTCAGCTATATAAGCACCTGCCTGAGAAGTCCAAGTTCCTGAGTTTGATTCCCTGTATCAAAAAAAAAAAAAAAAAAACAAAAAACAGTGAAACTAGGTGTAGTGATTTGTGTGTAGTTGTCCCCCTAAAGCCGCATGTAAGTCATAGGGTAGACTTCTAGAGTTTGTGATTAACTCATGATCCACTGGGGTTATGGATGTGAGTGCTGCTGGGATTATGGGTGTGAGTGCTGCACCCAGCCTGGGACGGAGAGCCTGAATGCAATTTAGGAAAGACAGACTCGCGCTCTGTATCCACTGTTGCTGCTACTTCTCCATTTTGTTCACTGCTCTTTGCAACTGCCATGGACTGCTGCTCTCTGCCCTGTGCCGCTCTGCCTTGGAGCCAACTGAGTATGGACTGAACCCTCCAGTAACTGGGAGCTAAATAAGCCTTTCCTTCCTTCATTTTGAGTGTTGGGTATTTGTCCTAGCAATGAGAGAAGAGTGACTAAGACCCTAAGTCACCCAGAGATTGCTGGTAGGCGTGGGAAATGACACAAACCTGAGGAAGCAGTTATAATTTCTTATAAAACTAAATGCATTCCCACTCATACCATGCAATATTACCCACCAGTAAAAAAATGGAAGAGCATACAAAACTCGGTGAATTCCTAGAGAACTGTGCTGGGTGAAAAAGTCTCTTCTGTAAGGTCCTATTCTATACAATTTCATTTGTATGATGTTCTTAAAATGATGTAAATACAGAGATGGCAATATGTTAGCAGATGCCAGAACTGAGGAGTCTTAGAGGAGACAGAGGTAAGTGGGAGGTGCCTCTGGCTAGGAAAAGTGCTGAGAGGGATCTTTATGATGCCATTGTTTTGTACCCTAACTGAAGTAGTAATCACACACATCTAAAATTGGTGATAAGCTTTGGGGAGCACGGAGTGTGGTGGTGCATGCCTGTAATCCCAGCACTCAGGAGTCTGACACAAGGAGGATCATTGCAAGTTTGAGACCAGCCTGGGCTACAAAGTGAGTTCAAGGTCAGCCTAAGCTATGTAGTGAAACCTTGTCTCAAAAAGACCAATAGAAGCATTTATAAAGTGTTAGCTCTATAGAAATCTACCTTAAGAAATGGAACTAGGATACAGATGTGGTCACATTTATCTAGTCCAAAATATGTCTTCTGAATATATCAGTTTGAATAATACAAAATATCCCATATTAGACAATTTTTAACTTGCAGAAATTATATCGTTTGTCTCAAATTAATATCCATTATACTTCTATAAGAGATTATCAGTCTTTGGGAAAGGGATGAACTAGTGATACTTTGTATAGTTTATATAGGTAATTGTAATAATCAAATGTCTTTATTTTATT